TCCCTCCCTGGTCTGCCCTGCCCCTAGCAACCAGCACCGCCGCCCACCCCCCCACCCCCGCGGTACCCGTGGCGATGAGGTGGTTGACCAGCGTGTAGTTATCCTCGGCACCGAGCAGCGTGCAGGGGAAGACGACGCTGTGGAAGGGGACGTTGTCCTTGGCCATGAAGTTGTACAGCTGGACCTGGGGGGAGGGGGGGGGGGGTCAGTCCTACCGGTGCTGAGCCCAGTGGCACAGCTTGGGGGGGGTGAGGGGGTCAGCCCCACCCTCGGAGCCAGCCTGGCCCCCATGCACCCTGGAGCTGGGTGGCACCGTGGGCGCTGCCCCTCCCTTGCCCCTTCTCATCTCATTGGCAAGTTCTGCCCATTCCAGACTCCTAACGAGTCCCGGCTGCGTGCCCACTCCGCCTCCTAGAGCGGGGGTGGGCAAACTATGTCCTGGGGCTGCATCCGGCCCTCCAGATGTTTTAATGTGGCCTCAAGTTCCCGCCACGGAGTGGGGTCCGGGGCTTGCCCCACTCCGCGTGGCTCCCAGAAGGAGGGGCATGTCCCCCCTCCAGCTCCTACGCGTATGGGCACCCAAGGGGCTCTGCTCTGCACGCTGCCCCCGCTGGGAACCGCAGCCAATGGGAGCTGAAGGGTGGTGCCTGCAGACAGGGCAGCGCACAGCCACCTGGCCGCGCCTCCGCGTAGGAGCCGGAGAAGGGACATGCCACTGCTTCTGGGAGCTGCTTGAGATAAGTGCCACCCGGAGCCTGCACCCCATAGCCTCTCCCCATGCCCCAACTCCCTTCCCCAGCCCCGATCCCCCTCTTACCCACCGAACCCCTCGGTCCCAGCCCAGAGCCCCCTCCTGCACCCTGAACTCATTTCTGGCCCCACCCCAGAGCCTGCACCCCCAGCCAGAGTCCTCACCCCCTCCCACACCCCAACCCCAATTTCGTGAGCATTCATGGCCCGTCATACAATTTCCCTACCCAGATGTGGCCCTCAGACCAAAAAGTCTTCCCACCCCGGCCTAGAGCATTTCCTAGCCATGGCACCACGAGAGGGGGAGGGGACAGGCTGCAGATCCGGAGCAGAACCCAGGAGTCCCGACTCCCCTCCCAGCTGGAGCCAGATCCCAACCCACCGAGGGGCCCGGGCACCTCACCTGCTGCGGGTTCTTCCACCACCTCTCCCACTGGTCTGTGTAGTTGGCCGTGATGGACAGGTAGCCGATCGGGGCATCGAACCAGACGTAGAACACCTGGGGGGACAGGGACAGAGCGGCACAAGGGCTCAGCACAGCTCCAGCCCAGGGGCTCGCTCGCCTTTGGCCAGGTCAGTCTCCGAGGCGGAGCCCGCTGCCCTTGCCCAGGGCACATACGTGGCACCCCCGTGCCCAGGGGGCACCCAGGGACGAAGCAGGGCGGTTCCTCAGGGGCAGCATCTCCCAGGCCGGCCCGCCCCAGAGCAGGCCCACGGCTGCAAGGCGGACGCCCCGCTGGTGCGCCAGGGCAGAGGACGCTCCCGGTGACAGAGTGAGCAGCAGGGAGAGCTGCTCCGGCCCCGCCCGCCCGCGGCCCAGCTCACCTTGTCGCGGAAGCCATCTAGGGGGACGGGCGTCCCCCATTTCAGGTCGCGGGTGATGCAGCGGGGCTTGAGGCCGTCACGGATCCAGGAGCGGGTAATGAAGCGGGAGTTGGCCGTCCAGTCGCCCGTGGCCCACGACTGCTCCAGCCACTTGTCCAGGAGCCCCTCCAGCTGCCGGGGGACGAGAAACGAGCTGGAGCTAGAACCCACTGTCGCAGGATTAGGGGGGGGGAGGAAGGGTCCTCCACCCCCTGTTCCAGACTCTTTCCCCCCACCCCGCCCCCCTCGGACAGCTGCACTCACCTTGGGCAGGTCCAGGAAGAGATGCTGCGAGGACTTCACCACCGGGGAGTCTTTGCATACTTTGCACTGAGGTTTCTGGGGGGAGGAAGCACATGGCCTGTGAAGCACGGGGGGGGAAATGCAGAGACCGCAGCGCATGGGGCAGGGGCTCAAGGGCTGATGGGCACAAGCGAAGAGCCGCCTTCCCAGGGTCCTTGGGGAGTATCACACCGTGGGGGGCCCGACTCCAGCCTTGCGTGGCTCCGGGACAGCGTCCTTACCCCCCCGCCGACTGTGGTACCTTGAGCTCCACCGCGTTGATGAGCTTCCCGCACTTGTCACACTGGTCGCCCCGGGCCTCCTCGTAGTTGCAGAAGGGGCAGGTGCCCTCCACAAAGCGGTCGGCCAAGAAGCGCTGGCAGCGCTCGCACCGCAGCTGGTCCACGGTGTCCGTCAGCAGCATGTCGCGCTCCAGCAGGCGCCGGAAGATGTCCTGGGCTATTCTGAGACACGCCAGGGAAGGATGGGAGAACAGCCCCCCTAGAGCAAGGGCCACACTAGGGGCGTTGCTTCCTCCCAGCCACCACCCCCAGACTGCAACAGCTGCTCAAGGAACGCGGGGGGCAGGTCGTGCCTTGGTCCGGAGGGGGAACATCTGTCCATGCTCAGTTAAGTGCCCAGCGCTCGGGGCATCAATGCCCAACGCGCCAGGCCCGGGAGACAACTACCGTGTCCTGACGGAGTCATGGCAGCCCCAGCTCTGCGTCCTCCTCCCTCCCCGGATCTTGCTGCTCCCGCACGCCCTCCCCACTCCGGCCCCACACCTACGTGGTCTGGTGGGCTGTGGTGGTCCGGCCGAAGTAGTCAAAGGAGATGTCGAACCAGCGGTAGATCTGGGCGTGGATGGCGTTGTACTTGTCGCAGATCTGCTGGGGCGTCAGCCCCTCCTCCAGGGCCTTGGTCTCCGTGGCCGTGCCGTACTCGTCCGTGCCACACACATAGAGCGTGTTCCAGTTCCGCAGGCGGCAGTACCTGGCCGAGGGGGGGGGGGCGCCTTAGGAGACGGGATTCCCTGGAGGGGGCTTGAGCCCCGCTGCCCTCAGGGGCTGCAGAGGCCCGGGGGGTTTGAGAGCTGCTGCACTGGATCCCTTGGGCGGGGTGGGGGTGGGGAGTAGTTGTGGGGCAGGCTCTGGGAAGTGGCCTCTAAGCTCTGTCCTTGGGCACCCTTCTATCTCATTGACCCAAGGGGACAGACGAACAAGGGGCGGTAGGTCCAAGTGCCCGCGCTACCCAGGGCCATGGGTGCCAGTCATGCCCACACAGCAGCGTTGGCCCCCTCTGCCAGCCCAACCCTCGCCCTCCTCCTGGCTGGGACTCGGCTGCTCCAGCTGGGAAGACCCTGCGTTCCCCTTCCTCTAGGAGCACAGCAGGGCTGCGCTGGGGGCTGGCCGAGGCTCCCGGCCAAAGCCGCCAAACCGCCGGGGCCTGCCCCGGGCCACCGTACCTGGCGAAGACGTCGGCGCTGAGGACGCAGCCGATGATGTTCCCCAGGTGGGGCACGTTGTTGACGTAGGGCAAGGCGCTGGTGATCAGGATGTTCCTTTTGCCCTCCACGGGCAGCCTGAGGAGAGAAGGGCCATGAGCTGCCCAGGGACGGCAGGACGCTGCAGAACAAAGGGGAGGGGGATCCTGGCCTGCAGGCTGGGGGCAGATGGCTGGGCCCTTGACCCCCAAACCAGCAGAGGCTGGGTACGCTGCCCAGGGAGAGAACAAGATGAGGGGCCCCCTCCCATCGCTCCCCTAGCGATCATGGGCCAGCCAAAGGGCCTTTTGTGACGAAGTGGGAATGTTCTTAATGTTTTCTCTGAGTGCTGTGTGGGTGCCTCAGTTTCCCCTATGCATTTCTTGAGTGTCCGGGGGGGGTGATCGTTGCAGGGCCCTAGAGGGCCAGTGTGATGGTGTCTGCACAGAGAATGGCCGACACCCTGTCTCCTGTCAACTCCCCTGCATAGGTGCCAACTGAAGGTGTTGGAGAACAAAGATCAGGTGGCCTCCTGGCGGGGAAAGAGACAAAGGTGAGAGGAGGGGCTGGAGAGTCAGTTTGGAGCTGGCTGGGGAAATGGAGGGGAGGCCAGACAGACCTCCTGGCCTCCCCTTGGCCTCCAAGATGGACCTGACTGAGGGGGTCGTGTTGTCTCTACCTACAAGACCTGTCTAGGACTGTGTTCCTGTCGTCTAATAAACCTTCTGTTTTACTGGCTGGCTGAGAGTCGTGGTGAATCGCAGGAAGCCGGGGGTGCAGGGCCTTGTCTCCCCCACACTCCATGACACCTTTCACGGGCGATGGAGCCGGCCCCTTACCCAGCAGCGCCTCCCACCATGGGCGAGCTCAGCAGCCAGTCCCGGGCCCTCCAGCCCTCCGCTCAGCCCCCTTCTCCCCGCCCCGCGGCACTCACACAGGGCTTGCCGGTTGCCAGCGTTCGGGCAGGGCTGCCGGGCCTCTGGCCCAGGCCTCCGCGGCAGCTGCGATTTCTTCCTCCGACAACGAGCGCTCGGCCAATTCCTCTTCCTAGCGGGAGGGATGCCGGATGAGCGGCAGCTGGGCTTGGCGCTAGGGCCGCAGACGCTCAAGGCGACGCCACCGGCAGGGACAGCTGCCAGCTGGAGCCCTGCACCCCAACGTGGGGCTGGAGAGCGTCCCCACGCCCGGGGGAAGGGCGGGCACTGCCCCAGGCTCCTCCCGCGAAGCAGGCGCCCGCACACCCACCGTAAGCCTCGCTGTTCCCAGTCGCGTTTCAATTCAGCTGGTTTTATGACACACACTCGGGTTTGGGGCCCAGAGCTCAGACCAGCCGCTGTTTAAAGGCCTGTGGGTTTCTCTGACCAGCAGGGATACCCCCAACCCCACCCAGCCTGATCCCTCAGGCCAGGCAGAGAACGGCTGCAGCACGGGTCCATGGCTGAGCAGACGGGGCCAGAGAGGCTCAGTAGAGCACCTCTCTCTCGAGACAGTTTCCATGCTCTGAAGAATTGTGGGAATCCCCAGCCTGGCTTAGTTCCCAGGCCCACCGGCAGGGGGCAGCCGTGCCAGAGCGACGGGGGGAACGGTACCTCTGGCTCGTTAGCTGCTGGCTTCTCCCAGTGCAGGCTGGGCCCTGGCTGTTTCTGCAGATACCCTTTGAACTCCTGGGCTCCCTTGGGCGTCAGTACGGACGCCACGGCGCTTCTGCAGGGCTCCGAGAGGTTCATGGTCTGGAACCAGCTCCTCAGAGCCTCCAGCTCATCTTCGAAAGAGAAGAAGGGTGTCAGCACCAAGAGTGTCACCCCGGGTGGGCGCAGGACCCTCGGGGCACCAGCACCACGGCCCCCAACAGCAGCTCTTACCTGGCAGACAGAATTCATCCCGCAACACAGGGAACAGGGTGGCCCACAGGACAATGTCGGCTACCGATTCTGCCTCCTAGAGGAAAGCCGAGAGCGTGAGGGCGAGAGCAGTGGGGAGCCGGGGGTCTTTGTGCAGCCATGTTTACTGCAGGAGAGCGGTACGGCCCTGCAGCTCCGAGCGAGATGCGAGCGTTGCATGCTGGGACTCGGCCTCCGCGGGCAGAGCTCACCACATCAGAGACAGAAGCTACAAACTGCTTCCTTCACGTGACTTTGGGCACCTGGCCAGCTGCCCGCACGGCCATTTGTGGGGTGAAGCCGGGGCTCCCCATGGCTAACGATTTAAGTGATTCTAAAGATCAGGGGACCAAAAGCCAGGACTCCTGGGTTCTAGTCCCAACCTGGCCATGCCCCTGCTGTGGGAGAGACACTTCAGCTCAGCGGGCCTCGGTTTCCCCAGTCCGTAAGTTACTCACCCCGGTGAGGTAAGGCGTGGCCTTGCTGGTCAAGCTTTGATCAATGTAGGTTAACGTTTTCCTGATGGCCCCCAGAACCTCTCCTCCTTTCTTTCCTTGCACCAGGTGGCAATACAGGGCTGTGGACACGGCCGGCTAAGGACAGAGACAAAGGTTTACTGGGCCACAGCAGCGTCGGAGAGAGCCCGCGCGTCGAACACGCCAAGCAGCGCTTCTCCAGGTGACCCACCTGCAGCTCCGTTGCTTCCCATTCAAGCCACTGATTGGTGAGATCGTTGGGTTCCTTTCCAGCTAAGAGGAAGAAGTACCTGCAGAACAGGAAGGAAGGGGAGCGCTGAACGCACATGGCAGATCCCGCAGCCCAGGTAACTCCACGCAGCGCCCGTTACCGGAGCGTTGACTTCCCCATGCTCACACAGCACGTCACCGACCCAGGAGTCCCAACGTCCCCTTTGCTCTAACCACCAAACAGGGGATTTAACACTTTTTTGGTGGCCTCAGAGGGCGGCCACCAACTCTCGCTGGCGGCCGCACTGACACGTTTTCCTAAAACACTCAATTAACGTTAGGAGAAACAAATAAACGTGCAGATCCACCCCCCCAAATCCCTGTCATTTCTTCATGTAGTAATCTGCTAGGGAAAGTGATACTTGCCTGTTTAATATCCCTTTTCTCAGCAAGCCCCAGGACAAATTAAGCCCGGGGGGGAGGTAGCGGGAGCCAGGGGCCATGGGGGGATGCATGGGGGCCTGGGGAGGCAGCAGAAGCCCCGCCTCCCTCCCCTCCTGCCCAAGGTGGGTCGAGAACTCACCTTGCTCCTGCAGTGTTGTGCCCCACCTGTCTCCAGAGGTGCAGCCAGGAGCAACAGGGAGGGAGGGGAAGAGGTCGATACTTTGCAACTCCCCCCAGGCTGTTCTGGGCCCCCGTTGGCCACACCCCGCATTTGAGAACCGCTGCACCAGAGCCCACTCCCCAGTTGCCGCCAGGAACCCCTCCCCCGGGCCCTGAAAGCTGCAGGAAACACTTCGGCAAAACCAGAGGGTTGCTAGGCCCGAGATCCTGGGGCGGGACCCGGCCCTGAACGCTGATTGCCCAAGAACAGCAAGATGCCAAGTTCCTCATCCGACTGCAGCAGGCACCGGGGAGCCACTGGAGGGGCCCGTTCCCAGCAGCGGGACAGCGTGTGCTCAGGGAGCGCTGACCCTCCGGCGACTTAGCACGGCCTCGCCCCGGGGCCGGGAGACCCTCCAGCCCAGAAACCAGCAGGGGACACTTACTGACAGATGGCATTTGGGGAGAAGAGGAAAGTGCCGCTGTCCAGGTGCAGGGCTGGCACCCGTGGGTGGGTGAGGAAAGGGACCACGCGACCTGCCAAGGGGAAAGCACATGGCATTAGGGCATTGCACTGTGAGCCAAGGAGACCGGGGCCTAGGGAGAGAGGAGGATGGAGGGCCCTGAGGGAGCTACAGCACAATGGGGGGGAGGGGGGACCCTGAGGGAGGTGACCCCAGAGAAAAAGGGGCTAGGGAAACAGGGGGCAGTAGAGACGGGTCCCTGAGAAGGGGGAGAGGACACTCCCTAGGGATAGCAGATGGTCCATGATGGGGGGGGGGTCCTTACACATGTGGGAGGACACATCTGGCAAGGACCTGTGGGAAGGGGAACATTGTGAGGGAGCCATGGGCAGGAGGGGAGGTCTCCTGAGGGGACACAGGGGATGTGCCCTGGGCAGAAAGGGGAGA